GACACTGATACGGTTGAAGAGAGTGCGCTCACGGTGCTCGTGCTGATCCTCCATACGAACATCAGACAGAACAATACCTTCACGGTAGTTGAATCCGATGTGCATCTTGTAGCCAGCCCAAGAAATCTCATTTCCTCGCATGCGGAAGGAAACGCCCTGGGGCTGGGTGATATTGATGGGCTTGAGAGTGCCATCAATGTAGTTCTCGCCGATAAACTCGGGCATGTAGTTGTGCGAGGTGAGAGGAACCTTAGTTCGCTCACCGTTGACGTAGCGGATGTCAACAGTGAGGACCTCCTCCTTCTCAGTATCGACCACGACGGAGAAGTCCAGCGGGTGCGCATACTGGTTATCGTTGGGCGAAGCGCGGTAATACACCAGACCCTGCTGGAGACGGCGCTCGTAGCCCCAACGCTGATCAACGCCAATCGCCCAAGCATCGATGTAGATCTTGGACATGTCGTCGATGCCAACGTCCTTGCAGGCCTGGATGACACGAGGGTCGGCGCGAGCAACGCGCTCGCAGACGTCAAGATCCTCGAGAGTCAGAGTAGGACCAACCTCGGAAACGTCCTTCCAGAGCTCGACCTTGCCGTCGGCGATGTTGGCGACGACCTCGGAGACTTGGCCATTGCCCTTCTCGATGACGATGGCGAAAGCGCGACGAGAAGGTCGAGGACCAGTTCGGGCGCGGAAAGCAGCATATTCTGCCTTGAGAGGCTCACGGAGAGTGAGACAGTTGAACTTTAGAGACTTGGGCTTGGCATAATCACGGATGATCTTTGCGGCAGCGCGGATCTCATCAATCGATAGCGGATCTGCAATTGTTAGGTGGGGTTGCGACTGGGGGCTCAATTGAGAGGGAAAATATACCGAGAGGATGTAAATGTTGAGAATTTGAGAGGTCGGGAGCGGCGTCGTTGGGCTCTTCCCGAAAGATGGTGTAGCCGGCGATGGATGAGGTGTCTGCAATCATGATGAACGTTGTCTGGGCTGAGCGACTGTGCCATACGGTGGATGATCAAGTAACTGTATAAGTGTCCAAGGTGTTGACCTGGAGGGAGTAAAGTTGAAGAAGAACTGTAGCTTAGTTGGTAGTTTACTATGGAGAGAAAAGGAAAAAGAAGATATTGTCAAGAGGATACAGAGCTTCTTATAGAGAAAGGAACAAGAAAAGTAAAAGAAAAGAAAAGCAAGGCGGATTACAAGAGACACGGCATCCATGGCATCCACCGTGTGGCGCCCGCCCCGATTGTCCTGGCAGACACCGCTCCGCTGCATCTCCACTGAGCGAGCGGGAATCCGCTGAGACCCTTTGCCTTAGGTGGTGTAAGACATGACCTACAGAAGCAAAGATGCTGACTACGGTTGCAGCTACAGTGGACACACAAGCGAGATCTAGATTTCGGCAAGGGTATCTCTACCGAAAACTGCTACAGAATTGCATTCTCTTGATCCTGGGGAACAGCTATCGCTCTCTGTCATGCCAAGCCATCTCCGGCAGTTCGACGCGCCGCCCCAAAAACTCTCTGATCTCCTCGAAACGGGCATAACAGTGAACGTTTTCTTACAGGTCCACAAATTACTGCATCTGTCTGCTATCTAGCAGTAAACGGTTGGGGAGATCGCAGAGCAAAACACGAGGCTCAATCATCTGACCCCAGCGATCAAATGCTCCCCCTCATCTAGACTTCTAACCGCTTTCAGCATCTGATTCTCAGCTTTGCACCCATGCCCTGCGCTAAACCGCTTACAGGTAACGTTTTGCAGTTTTGCCCTGCGGCCGATAAGAATGTCGTCTCCCCCGAGATAACCGAACAGAACAGGTGATGCCCTTTCTTCATCCCCCTTGATTACGTTTCTCTTGGGCTGTTACCGGCCCGGTCGAAAAAGCAACGCGTTATTCCCCACGGGGAAGTCATCGCACAAGACGCTGCAATTCATCACGTAATGGAAATCTCGTCGTCCTCTCTCCTGATGCGATGCATCGCTGTTCCCCATGGGGTACCATCGCGTTTCCCCGCAAACCGCCTGCCTGGCCAAGCCATTGGAATGATCGCTAACTTCCCGGGTTGTCCTGTCAGAATGTCGACGGCGTTGTCCTGTTTGCATCATTGGGCTTAACTCACAGGTATTTGGCAGACGCCGTCGTCGCTGAAAGAGCGTTAGTAGGGCAGTATGACTGGGGCTCGAGATAACAGTGCCCCCCCTCCCCCAAAAGAGCCTTATCTCTGTGCTACTAACCCCAATGCGCGGTTTTTTGGCCTCTGCCAGGTTTTTCGTTCAGTGCTGAAGCATCCCTACAATCAGCCACCACCACCACAATCTCTGTACTCCATACAGTACTATCATTGCCCGTAGAGCGACCCTGACTTGTCACACGATAACCTTAGTTACCTTGATACCAAGCACCTACCAATTCCAATTCTGTCCTGTGTGTGGCCTTCGTAATGTCAAAAAAGTCTCCTTACCAAAAAGACGTTGGTCCGTTCCCCGTAAGCAAATTGGATATAAGCTTGCCACGCGCATTTGCTTTTTTACTTCCCATTTCATACAACACATCGCAATTGATCTCTCTCTGAGTCACATCGCATTCTCGCTAAGGCTGCCCGTCGCCTTTTCCCCCCTCTCCCCTCTTCTACCCTTTTACGTCATTTATTCTTTCTCTCGACGAGGTCATCGTCAGACGCGGCCATGACCAACGACGTCGAGACAAACTCTGCGCTCAAGCGCTCAGATACCACCAACCAAGCCATCCGCGATGCAGAAGATCTCGCAAACTTTGGCCATGACCAGAGTCTCACGCGAAAATTCAGCATGTGGAGCATGTTTGCCCTGGCCTTCTCGGTCCTGGGTACGTGGTCCACGTTCGCGCAGGGCATCGACAGCGGCTTGACCAGCGGAGGCCCAATCGCCATCCTCTGGGGCCTGGTCCTCGTGTTTGTCTGCAATATCTGCGTTGCTGTGTCGCTGGGTGAGATGTGTAGTAGTATGCCCACGGCGCTCGGTCAGGCGTACTGGATCTCGCGATTGTGGCCGACAAAGGCTGGGCGGTTCTGCTCGTATCTTTGTGCGTGGATTAACATGACCGGTTGGATCACTTTGTCCGCGTCGCAGATTGCTTTCATGGGCGAGTTTATGCTCAAGATGAAGGTTCTCTTCCAGCCGGACTGGGCTGGTGCGGATAAGGGATGGGTTCTATTCCTCGTCTACGTCGGTGTTACTCTAGCTATGACTCTATTCAACGTCGTGGCCTGTCGAAAGGACATCGTTCTTCCCTGGTTCAACAACTTCGTTGGTGTTTCCTTCGCCAGTCTCTTCTTCATCATCAGCTTGGCCATGCTCATCTCCGTCGGAACCAAGGATAACCTTCATTACCAGCCTGCCAGCTTCGTCTTTGGACAGTGGATCAACCAGACTGGCTGGCCCGATGGTGTTACCTGGTTCTTGGGCCTTATCCAAGCTGCCTACGGTCTTACGGCCTTCGATGCTGCTATCCACTTGGTCGAAGAAATTCCCTCACCACGAAAGAACATCCCCCGTGTTATCTGGCTCTCGGTTACTATCGGCGCCATTACTGGGTTCATCTTCATGGTCGTCTGTCTCTTCTGCATCGTGGATATGAGCATCGTCACTGATCCTACGACTGGACTTGCTTTCATGGATCTCCTCAAGCAGACTGTCGGTCTTCAGGGCGGAACTGTCCTTCTGACACTGTTCATCGTGAACGGTATCGGACAGGGTATTGGAATCGTTACGACCGCTTCGCGTTTGACTTGGGGTTTTGCTCGAGACGGTGGTCTTCCTTGGAGTGGCTACTTTGCAAAGGTCGACGATTTCTGGAGGGTTCCTGTTCGTGCACTTTGGCTTCAGGGCGGTGTCATGGCTCTCATCGGAGTTCTCTACACTTTCGCCTCAACAGTCTTGGAAGCTATCCTAAGCGTCAGTACAATTGCGCTCACAGTATCCTACGGCATGCCCATTCTTTGTCTCCTCCTCGTCGGCCGAGACAAGCTCCCACCGGGAGAATTTTCCCTCGGTCGATTTGGTTCAGTCATCAACTGGGTCAGCGTCGTCTACTGTGCCGTCACTACCGTTTTCTTCTTTTTCCCAGGCGCACCGAACCCCGCGGTTGCAGACATGAACTACGCCATTGCTGTGTTCGGCATCATGCTTGTCATCACGCTCGTGTTCTGGGTCGTCAAGGGACGTATCACTTATCTGGAGACCGAGGAGGCGCAGGGAAACATCATCTATGCGCAGCGCGCGGAGCGGGCTAACTATGTCGATGTCGATGTCCGAACCAAGACGGATACAGAAGCTCGTCGAGCTTCGCAGACCGGAGGGCCTAGTGCTTCCTGATTGGATGGGAGGACCGGCATTGCGAGACTTGGTGTGAGGATGGAACAGACACGCGTAGTTGTAGTTGAAGTTTAGAATCAATGAAAGATTGGCACTTGCGCATGGGAAAACCCGTTCTATTTAATTGCACTGTATCTTTGGTCTATCTTATTACCACAATTGGTATAGTCGATCTCAAATGACAGGAAACGTTGATTTAGGAAGCATATTTGCATTTTTCAGAGCAAATCATACGAGATGTCAGTCATATCACCCCTGAATAATGCACCAAGGGTCCCATGGCACGGCAAACGATCAACCGCTTGCAACTCCAGTAGCTGAATGCATTTCCTTACCCCGATTCTGCTTAAATCGCTTGCAAAACGACTGCCCGAAATGGAAGCGAGAAACATCTCCTTATCGGTCCAGGGTATCCCGCCCGGATATCCACACCGGCCCGGAGGACACTATACCGAGAATGGGCAATACTTTTCAACTTTCTGACCTGTGGAATCGGAACCCCACGTTGATGGCCTCCGTTGTTATACGGCACTGATATCGAGTGACGTTGGTGAATGACTATAGGTATACAAGGATAGCTTCTCCTCAGCTGATTTCCCCAGATATCCTCTGTAGAATCGAATCATCATACATCCAAAATGAGTCTAGACGTTCAACTTACTGCCCCTAATGGGCGAACCTACAAGCAGCCTACTGGTCTGTTCATCAACAATGAATTTGTTCCATCCTCAAACGGCAAGAAAATCACATCCATAAACCCAACGTAAGACCAAGAACCCACTGCAAAGATAATCACCACTGAAAATAACAGAAACGAGCAGGAAATCACCTCCGTCTACGCCGCATCAGCCGAAGATGTCGACAAAGCCGTCCGCGCCGCTCGTCGCGCCCTTCGCAATCCCGCGTGGCGAGATCTCCCAGCTACAGAGCGCGGCAAGCTCATGAACCGACTTGCCGAGCTCGTTGAGGAAAACCGAGATATTCTCGCTACGATTGAAACATGGGATAACGGAAAGCCTTACTCTGTCTCGTTCAATGAGGACATGACTGAGGTGGCCGAGACGTTAAGATACTATGCTGGCTTTGCGGATAAGGTCTTTGGACAGGTTATTGAGACTACTGGTGATAAGTTTGGATACACCATCCGTGAGCCTATTGGTGTCTGCGGACAGATTATCCCGTAAGTGCATCTAATGAGTAGTTTAGAGGTCTTCTTGACTAACAACTTTAACAGATGGAACTATCCCCTTGCTATGGCAGCTTGGAAGCTCGGCCCTGCCCTCGCCTGCGGTAACGCTGTAGTCCTCAAGCCCGCCGAGCAAACGCCCCTATCAATCCTCTACTTCGCCAACCTTGTTGTCAAAGCCGGCTTTCCCCCCGGTGTCATCAACATCGTCAACGGTCTCGGAACCGTTGCCGGCGCAGCCCTCGCCTCTCACATGGACGTCGATAAGATTGCCTTCACTGGCTCTACCCCAACAGCCAAGACCATCATGAAGATGGCTAGCAGTAACCTGAAGAATATTACTTTGGAGACTGGCGGCAAGAGCCCCCTTATCGTCTTCGATGATGCTGATATCGATTTGGCTGTTTATTGGGCCCATGCTGGTATCATGTCAAACCAGGGTCAGATCTGCACTGCCACAAGTCGTATTCTCGTTCAAGATGGTATCTACGATAAGTTCCTCGCTGCTTTCAGAGCGCAAGTCAAGAACATCTCCAAGGTCGGTGATCCCTTTGACGAGAAGACCTTTCAAGGCCCTCAGGTCACAAAGGCTCAATACGACCGTATCCTCTCTTTCGTCGAAGTCGGCAAGAAAGAAGGCGCCAAACTTGAACTCGGTGGCCAACCATTCAAGAAGGTCGGCGATGGTAAGGGCTACTTTATCGAGCCTACAGTCTTCACTGGCGTTTCTCCCAAGATGCGAGTTTTCCAGGAAGAGGTTTTCGGACCGTTTGTGGTAGTTAGCAAGTTTAGCTCTGAGGAAGAAGCTATCAACTTAGCCAACGATACTCAGTATGGTCTCGGCAGTGCTTTGTTCACTACCAACTTGACGAGGGCGCATCAGGTCGCGAAGAGGATTGAAGCTGGCATGGTTTGGATTAACTCAAGTAATGATAGCGACTGGAGGATTCCATTTGGTGGAGTGAAGCAGAGCGGTATTGGACGGGAGTTGGGAGAGGCTGGTCTTGCGGCTTATTCGAATATCAAGGCTGTGCATGTCAACATTGCGGCAAAGTTGTAAGATCGATTGAGAAGATAGTCTATCTGTACGAGACAGGCCAAAGAGAAAGATAATTTGAAGATCATCCGGCCAATTTCTTGAAGACACCAATGGGAACACCCCGACGTATACTCCAAATCGTGTCATGGTCCGCTGCCTCGATGGTCTTCGTGTTGTAGGTAATGACCTGCTCAACCTCTTCTCCCTTGAAACAACTGTCCAGCCATTTCGGACCATCCGTTCCTGGCGCTCCAATCATAGAATCCTCCTCAGCGTAGTAGACATCCACGGTCAATTTCTTTCCCGCTCCCTTCAGTGCTTGTACCAACTTGGGCACCAAGTCGTCATAGTCAAGCCAGTCGCCCCATCCTGGTACGCCATCTGTCTTCTGCATCAAGAAAACCGACTCGTCACCGAAACCACGAATACTCTCTGCGTGGACAAGTTTGAATAAGAATGGTTCCAAGGATTCTTCGAAAAGAGCATCGGTTTTGGTCTCCTCAGCGCCTCCTTCTACGTTCTTCTTCTTGGTTAATCCAAACATTTGGCTCATGCCAGCGGATGTCGCGACAACTGGACCGAGAGTGCCGTTCACGAAGCCAATCAACTTGTCTGCTTGTGCGAGCATGCTAGCGGGCAGTGATTGGGTGACAGACATTGAAAGAAGGTGTGAGTGAGATGGAAGGATCCAAGGAGCTCCAATGGCGAGGTAGGGTCGCTCTGGGTTAAGAATCTCTGGGTGATGCATGAGCATGTCAAAAGCGTAAACGGTCCCTCCGCTGTGGCAAGCGAGAGAAACGTGCTTAATTCCAAGATGTTTAAGCAGAGCCAGAGTCATTTCTGCGAATATTAGTTACACGTTGGCTTCGTCCCGGTGAGTGATGACTTACTTCGACACATGGCTGGTCTTTTCTCCAGCTTGACAGGGTCCGTCCCACCGAAACCAGGCCGATCCATAACGACGATGCGAACACGGTACTTCTTGGCTAACTCATCTTTCGCGCAGTGAAAAATCCTCGATGCACATAATGGTGCAAAGAAGAGTAGCACATTCTCGTCCGCGGCGTTGTGATAGCCGTAGTCGGAGTATTTCACCTGGAGATCGCCATGATCATCCGATGGATCGGCGGGAAGCTTGAAGGTTTGGGAGAAGCGGGGGTCTTTGAGAAAAGCCTCAGGTTCTTTGACTTCTGCTGCAGCTGCCATTTCTACTTGAACCGTATGCAGCGTCTTTCTTCAATTGAGGGTTTCTTGGCAGGTTGGGAATAAAGATTGAGTGAGCAGGAAATGATACGAGACATGGACCAACACGTCACGTGTAACCTTGAAGGCCCGTCACAGGCTGAATTTGGTGGTGGATAAGAGGGGTAAGAGCAGCATCAATCGATAACAATTTATCTGGATCAATATGAAGGATTGAAGGATTAGTCTGTAAATCAGCATCTTTCTCACATCACTTCTAGCCATTTCAGCATATTCTGTCTCCCCGAATTTTCCAAGTCTTTCTTCCAGCGTTGCTTTGCCTTTCGGTTCAATAGTCCCGCCGGAGATCCTTGACTTGCCAAAACCTCAAGCATCTTATGGTTACCCTGTTCCATAGCAATTCTCATTGCTTTCCGAACATTCTTGCGCTTCCTATGCCCTCCAGCCATGACTAAGAATTTCACCATCTCTAAGTTTCCTCTTCTGGCAGCAACTGGTAGAGCTACATCTACCGTCCTTTCGCCATTAATTATGTCGGCAACATGGTTAGGCTCCTCACCCTTCAAATCCTCAATACTTCTCGTCGGACCTAGTGAGTAGCCCAGTTCAATGAGTCTTTTGACGATGGGCAGACAATCATCCAACACAGCGCGTTGCAGCCTTCTCAAGCCCCAAGATGCCAGAGTGTCAGCCCCGGAGGAGAGACCTTTTGTCCACCAGACACCTTCATCCTCAGTGTAACCTTCCAATATAGCATCGTAAACCAAGTTGAAAACCCCGAGATTGGTCGTTGACTCTAGCATTTTGCTCAACTTGATACCAGCAAGCGATCTTGAAGACAGGCCAGTTCGTCCGTTCATCCATATCATATCCGCGATTGACGGTGCTAGAATCTGGTATCTCGTGGGAGGCCGGCCTGTCTCGATTGCGACGCGTAGAAACTCGATCTGACCCGGAAGAGCGACTTCGGTGATTATGTCCTTCCGGTACACATCAAGTTCGCGTTCTCTGCTGGAAACACTCTTCAACAGGAGGGTGACGCATTCAATCTTGTCCAACTGCACAGCAAGCTTGACTGAGTTCGCAAGCCTGATGAGAGACTTTCCACATTTTGGCGGTAAGAGGCCAAGTTCATCGTCTAATATGCGGCCAGCTTGAGGAATGGGTGTCTGGAACGGTGATAATGCTGTAAGTTGTCCATCTGCTGTTGACAGCGCCTCAAGGTGGGAGGGACAGAGGATCAGATCCTCATTAGAAAATGTATTTTCCAGAAGAGTGTTATCGCTCAGATGTACAGCCATTGATGCTAGAGCGTCCCGAAAAACTGCACAAGATTCATCCAACTTAAGTGCTGTCGCATCGAATGCTGACGATCCATTCTTGATGTAGAAATCAGGATGAGAGTAGATGTATCCGTGCTTGACCGCTACTTCACAGACGATGCGTACTGTATCCTCCAACTCTATCTGCGAAGATGTTTGCTGTATGTGTTGATAGAGATATTCTGAGACTTTTAACAACAGAACATGATCTTGGGTTGGCGGTTTTGTCCTGATTCTGCCCAATGTCCTGGCTGTCAGGAACATGACCCAGAAATCGTCGCTAGGGACCACTGATGCGCTGGAAGTGATTACCGCTTCCCCAGAGAGCGTATAGTCTTCAGATTGCTCTTGATTGCCTTCTGGAAGTGATGGAGACACTGGCCTATCCAGATCTGGCGTCTCAGGTTCAGAGTTGGTGTCGCCGTCGTCGGATACGTTCTCTAGAAGAGGTGGATACGATGAACGGTGATCATCATCTACCGTGTGGTAGAATATGGTTTGTTTACGCACAGGGTCCCAGTATCCAACATTATCCAGCATGTCAGACTCGAGAATGGCTTCCACTGTCATGAGGTTGAAGGCTTTGCTGACGCGGCATAATGCCAGTATTTCGGCGAGAGAAAGCGATGCCGTGCATTGCTCGATGATATGAAGCCATATCTCTGCTGGAAAGTAGGTCGGTAGACACTCCTGATCTATCATGGTTCATTGATCTAAATTGAGTTGATGTAGTTCGTATGAGATTGTCAAGTTGATGAGTAGCCAAGAGTCATCAACGATAATGCTGACAGTGCATTTACTGCACAGCCACGGGGAAGGGCCCACTGAAATGCAGCGCTGTACGGCGAGGGGACCTTGACCCTAAGTGATAAAATTACTCAGGTAAACCTAGCCTAAGTTCAGGGGTTCTTTGCTGAGCTTATTTTAGCAACCTCTTTCCTAGCCTTGACTTTTCTTGATCTCTGAAGCATCGGTACAGCTTCTTCTGAACCGCTTACAAAGATAAGAATCGTTGTGGTAATTGAGGATATTTCGAAAAGATATTGGACGAGCCGGAGGAGGTTTCGAATCATCAAGATGATTGCCAATGATTCTCGCATGGGCGCCTCAGCTCTGGAGCTCTGGTGGGCTTGTTTCCCCCACGCTTTGTCTCTTGATCTTGGTGGCGTTTCAAGAGCGATGCTGATTCGTAAGAACAAGCAAGGAGTAGGCGGCAAGGCATTATTGATGCCTGAGAGGCTTTTCGCTTCACTTTGTTTCAATATCATCACAATCGTGCAAAGACTTCATTAGCCTATCTCGAATTTAGCAATTTCATACTCCTACTATAAGTTCAGTCACAATGGAATGCCTCAAACTGAGCCTCGAATCCGTTGCCTCACTTCATGCCATGAATGAGGCTGAGCTGCGTGCTCTCATAGGAAAGGAAAATTCATCCGACACTGACAGTGAGGAGGGCTTGAGAATTCGCATCTATGCAAGCTATCTTTTGTTCGAGATGTGCAGCTCTGACAACTTTCTGGAAGAAGCTATCCTTTTGACTAAAAGAAAGACCGTCGATTCACTTCCGGATAAACGGGCTATCAACGAGTGGCTTGATATTCTCACGGCGCTTTTGGTGATCTTACACCACTCCCAGCAAATAGCTGGACAAATCGCTGAGACGTAAGTTACTCTACTGTTCATTCATAACATATATGCGGAGCCAAAGATTGCTGACATCTTGGTATCTAGGTCCAGCCGTGACGCCATGCTCAACGATATTGATCTTCGAATGAAACTCCTCAAAAACCAAGCAGCCGTATCGATGATGAGATTCGAGCAGAGCCACATCATGGATGATTTGAATCTGGCAATCGCTATAGTGGAATACTTGATACCAGTCACAGATCTTAGCAAGTCATCAAGGTTGCAGAACAACCTTGGTGTTATGCTTCACAAGCGATATCAGAGAACTGAAGCGATAAAGGACCTAAGCCGAGCTATTGACGTGATAAGAATCGCTATAAGCCTTACCCCCGATGATAGCCCGGATCTTGCTGACCGTCTCAACAATCTTGGACTCTGGCTCAGTGCTAGATTTGAAAGGTCAGATATGGTCGAAGATCTGGACTATGCCATTAAGGCTGCAAAGAAAGCCGTGATATTGACACCTGAAGGCCACCAGCACTATGCTGGATATCTCAATAACCTTGCCAACAGCCATGGCAAGCGGTTCCAGCGAACAGGCACAATCGACGACATTAATCGTGCAATCGAGGCATCATCAAGAGCGGTAAAGTCGACATCACAAAAAAACCCCGGCTTCTTGAATAGCCTTGGCGTATGGCTTTGTGAGCGGTTTGAAGCATCGGGGGACCTCATGGATCTGGATTGTTCCATAGAAGCAGCACGTCGTGCTGTAGACATCACGTCCCCGAGCCATCCTGATAGATCCGCATTGCTGAATACCCTTGGAACTAGCCTCAGCAGGAAATTCGAGAGAACCGATTCAGGAAAGGATCTGAACGAAGCGTTAAACATCTTCACCCAATGTCTGGAAGCAACGCCTCGCAATGCGCAGGACTTTGCATCCACCTTGAACAACCTAGGTATCTGTCACGGCATGAGATTTGAAAGGACAGGCTCAATAGCAGATCTGGACCATGCCATTGAGAGAACGCACGAATCTGTAGTCAGCACTCCTCAAGGCCATCCGAAACTCCCTAACCGGCTGAACAGTCTTGGAAATCAACTCAGGGCGCGGTTCCGAAGAACAGGCGCGATGCAAGACCTGGAACACGCCATCGACGCGGCAGAAAAAGCCACGAAAATCGCGGCGAGGACTCACCCTCATTATCCTACGTATCTGAGTAGCTTGGCGAATAAGCTAAGCTTGCGCTTCGAACGAACAAGCGAAGCACACCATCTTGATCGTGCTATCGAACTGATTGAGGAAGCCATCCAAGGCCCTCTGGTGTCTCATGACAGCCTCGCTGCCTACTACAACAACCTTGGATCATCACTTCACAAGCGCTACGAAAAGTCTGGAAGAGAAAGCGATATTGTTCGAGCTATCGAAGGTTGCAGTAAGGCGGTTGATCTGACAGCGCAAGATCATCCAGGTGTCTACTCCTACCTCAATACTCTCGGCAATGCGTTTGGTAGCCGCTTCAGCAAGACGGATTCCCTGGATGATCTCGATCGCTGTATCGAAAAGATCACCAAGGCAGTGGAAGCAATTCCCCAAGACCATCCCGATCGTTCGTTCATGATAAATAATCTAGGCAACTGGCTTGATAAGCGATTCGAGGTTACCAAAGCGGCCGGCGATCGGGACAGTCAAATCTATTGGTTCCTCGAGGCATGGAACTCCAAAACAGCAGCCCCATCCCAGAGAATACGCGCAGCTGGTTCTGCTGCTTATGTATACATAGAGCGAGAAGAGTGGGAGAATGCTAGTACATTGCTGCGTGAAGCAGTGTTGCTTCTCCCGAAAGTGAGTCCACGATTTCTGGCACATACAGATAAACAAAGCCTACTCTCAAGTCTGTCTGGCTTGACTTCAATGGCTGCTGCTGCGGTTTTGAGTGCAAATGAAGGACCCTATGAGGCTTTGAGGCTCTTGGAACTAGGAAGAGGCCTCATCTCAGGTTTTGTCATGAACATTCGCACAGATATCTCGGAGCTCACATCGGAGCACCCGGAATTGGCGAAGCAACTTGATCATCTTCGAGATGAGATGGATCAGCTGCAAAGTGGAATCGATGTATCGACTAAAGAAGACGGCTTAGAAACTTGGCAACGGAAGCAAGAAAGATTTCGGAAAGCAGACGAAGAATTCGAGAGGCTTCTTGTAGAGGTCCGAGGAAAATCAGGATTTGAGACCTTTCTGCTACCACCAACTGAGGCAGAACTGATGGCAGCAGCTACTCCTGATCCAATCATTGTGGTTAATATTAGCTTCTACAGATGTGATGCATTCATCATTGAGAGTACTGGAATGAGAACGATTGAGTTGCCTGATTTGTCGCAAAGCAAGCTTCGCGCATGGGCGAGCTTCCCGTCAGCTAGATCTGAGCTTGCATCTCGACTAGAATGGCTATGGGAGGCACTCGGCCATCCTTGCTTGAATGCACTTGGTTTCACATCTACTATATTGGATGATAGCAGGCCCCATATCTGGTGGATTCCGACCGATGCCCTCAGCTGTATACCGATTCATGCTGCTGGGCGCTACACGCCAGGGTCTACGGAGACAGTCTTGGATAGGACTATGTCATCGTATGCCTTGACCATCAAGTCATTGCTCCATGGGAGAAAGCGGGATCTTGCTTCTGCCTATAAATCACAGAGACAATCTGCACTCCTTGTTGCCATGCGCAACACACCAGGCAGCGGGAAGTTACCGTTCGCTGAAGACGAAGTCAACATGGTGAAGCAAATGTGCCCAAAGCTCTACCTCAAACCAGATACACCTAGACCATTGAAGGAAGAAGTGCTTTCGTCACTGAAGACCTGCAAGGTGTTTCATTTTGCAGGGCATGGACGTTTAAACCCGACAGAACCTTCTAAAAGCTGTTTGTGTCTTGAAAACTGGAAGACCAACCCTCTCACAGTCCAGGACATTCGTGGGGAGAACCTAGAAAGTACTCAGCCATTTCTTGCGTACCTCTCTGCTTGCCGAACTGGAACAAACATGGAGTCAAGACTATCAGATGAAGGAATTCATCTCGTTGGCGCGTTCCACTTGACTGGATTTAGACATGTAATTGGAACACTATGGGAAGTATCAGATAGGCATTGCGTTGATGTAGCCGAAGTATTCTATGGGACTCTGCGTGATGAAGGCATGACAGATATGTCTGTGTGCAAGGGCTTACATCAAGCACTGAGACAACTGAGAGATAAGGGACGAGCCAAGAGCAAGGGCATTAGGGACATCACAGCGGTAGACGAGGAAGAAGATAAACCAGATCTTGGAAATACGGACTGGATGCCCTACGTTCATTTTGGATGCTAGTTGTTTTGCTAGTGTAGGGATGTTCCTAGAGCATAGCAGCAATACATGGTTCATCTATGAGACTTTCTTGAGTTTGTCTTATTGAGTAGAAATTTCATTTCTTTGTTAGATCTAGTGGTACTATCAAACCATTTGTAAGGACAGTAATGTCATTACTTTACAGCCAACTCCGAACTCGAATCTAGGCCTCCGGATGTTCCTTAAGCCACTGCTCCATGCTAGTAGGAGTCACCTTACTAGCCCATCTCTCATTATCAACAGGATCAATAGCAGCCTTGCCATTTAAGAACACCATCCCATAAGCCAAGTCGATATACTTGTCCGCCTGAAAAGCGCCGATGTTCGCCCTAGCCTGTTGCAACATCGCTTGCAGTTCAGCCTTGCCTCCAAAGCACTGTTTCTTCATCTCATAGCCTCGCGCTTTGCCGTAAATATCAGCGAGCTCAGGCATAGTGCAATGAGACGACTCGACGTAGTAAATACCACGCTTAATGACATCTTGATCATTTATAGCGAGCAGTGCATACTTTGCCAAGTCATCGAGAGTAGTAAACGACATCTTCTCTTCTCCCGTACCAAAGTAAATAACACTTCGAGTCTCGGCGTTGACCAGGCTGGATCGGCCTGCGTCCTTGATATGAATGAGCGAATAATCCAAGATGGCACCTGTAAAGCCGTAGATTGGTTTCAAGCTGCAAGAGAGCTCGGCAAGACGCTTGAAAGCGATGTAAGCATCGTACGTCTCGTGATCGCCGAGCTCGAGCTTAGTCCAATCAAAGTTCCAAGACGCGGCATGGAAAACCTTGAACAAATAATTAGTGTTGTCAAAATGCTTGTTGATGCGGGGTTTACCTTGACGCCTGCTTTCTCAGCTTCCAGCAAGAGAGCCAGCTGGCCTGCTCCAATGATGCTGGGCACTGGAGGTAGAGCAGCGATAACGACATCAACTCCCTTGACGGCTTTCGCAAGGTGGGACTTATCAAGGAAGTCGGGGCAAGCGATGAAACTCTCAAGTTTGGATGCAATATCGGCATTGAGTTTATCAGGGTTTCTGCTCAATCCGCGGACTTGATAGCCTTCCTCGAGGGCATAGCGAGCAAGGGTCTGACCGACCATGCCGGTGATGCCTGCAATTAAAATGAGCATGATGAGTAAATTGATACAGATGCTAGAAGTGGTTTGAATGAATGAGACAATGTGTCCAATATCTGGCAGGTGATGGCTTCTTTATAGTTCGTCATTGTTACCGAAATCCTGGAATGCCCACAATTGGCGGATGATCCATTCCCTGATCAGAGTTGGAGTTACGGACTTACGGGTTTACGCCGCATGGCCAAGTCCTCGTGCCGTAAGCATGCAGCTACAGCGAGATCCTTCTCACTGATGACCTCCCTCGGTATCCGTCATCATTCAACTCTGAATTATCTTCATTAAACCATGATTCCGAAGGCATGCGAGCCATGTCGCCGGCGGAAGATCAAGTGCGATGGAGCAACGGTTTGCAGCGGATGCCGGAACAAACCCGCCATGTGTATCTATCGTCTCAAACCACGCAACAGAGCTCGTAAAGCGCATAAATCTGCATCAACAGAGATCTCCAACTCCGAAACTCCCGAAGATTCTCATACCGATGGCGTGTATCCAGATGCTATTATAGCTTCCAACACCGGGGGCGAGCCTGGAATTCATGAACAGCTTGTCTATGGTCCGACGTCAACCTTTGCATTCCTACAGACTCTACATAATGAGCTGGTTCATAGGCGTGCACACACCTCCAGAACCAAAGGTCAAAGTCTTGATGCCTTTACTAAAAGAACTATTTTCTTTGGTCTGCCGTCAAGAGTCGACCCGCTCTTACTTCCCCTACAGCAACGAATGGAAGACATTCTTCCAAGGTCTACCGCCATTGGATTTCTGCAAGCTTTTGAGAAATATTCTTCCCATGGTTTACCGTTTATAATTATCGATAGAACTCGAGTGTCATTGGATAATCTCTACAACGTTAGGGTTAACGACACATCAACTTCACAAGACAAAGCTCTACTACTCATGATACTCGCCATAGGCGCACTTAGCACCTCTGAAACCGATACCGCAGAGACACTCTTGATACATGCTAAGCGAGAGGTCGCCCTGTTCGACGATGTCGCCAAATTACCAATGGTTCAGTTCTGTCTCCTGATGTCAGATTATCAGCTCAACATGGGACGCCCAAATGCTGCTTACTTACAAGTATGTTCGGCTTGCACAAGAGCCATGTCGATGGGTCTTCATGGTAGAGCTGAAGATGATGTAGGAGGAGAGAAGTTGCAGGCACGCTCGACTACCTTATGGGCTCTGTATTTCCAACAAACGTGAGTGTTATTGAGCCCTTCCGACTAGATGATACCTGACTTGCTACAGGTGGATCTGCTTCATCGTCGGAAGAAAGGGAATCATTAGAGGGTCAGATATCTCCTGCGATTACCCAGAAAATCAACCCATGCTCGTTGATCTTTGTAATCTGGCAGCTATCCAGGAACAGGCAACATCATGTCCGAACGGGCACAAATACTGCACGCTTTCCCAGATGTATGAAAACAGTCGAAGGCTTCATCTTCAGGCTTGGGGCGTCTGTGAAGACCTTTGGTTCGGTCCTTCTCCCCTTCGATGCCAAGGATCAGGAGCGGATGAAATGGCACGGCTTCTAGTATGTAACGGTGTGTATTTTGATCATGCTAAGCGGAGAAAGAATCCTGATCTAACTAGTTAGTTTACTGCCACTTCATCCATACCATCTACCGGCCATTCCTCATTGCTGAACCAGCACTGAGAGCTTCGGGTCAGATGGAGCGAGCCAATGCGATTTGGCTTCGACAAGCGTGTAGATATGCTACAGACGCCGCTGAAGATTCAATTGTTATAACTCATCAAATATTCAAAGCTTCAGATACCAAAGGAGTGAGTATGGTCTTGACAGAGAATGGCCTCACCGATAAGCCAATATTTGGATGGTTGTAATCTTCATATTCCTTTGGTCTTAAGGTTGATCGAATCAACTACTGTGGCTAACAGGCTTGGCTATAGATGAGACGATATAATGCTTTCTTTCTAGAGACAAGTTGCGCCATACTTCTATACGCATCGATGGGTCATCCGTCCAAACATCCACATCATCGAGATATTGTCGGGCTCGCTATAGAATGCCTTGAGCTAATGGTGGATGACGATCCTGTCACAAATGCAATGCTGCATATACAGAAGCTCATTGATGCCGTCGAAGGATACATACATGAACCGTTTGGTGGTGGAATAGTAGACCCGTCCTCTCATGCAGCTGCGGACCAGCGTCAGAACTCCGATCAAGCCCAAGGAAAATATGCATTGTTGCCCTCCGAAAGTATCCTGGACTTTTCTCCCATCCCTATATCTGGCAGTGCGGACTATATATTTTCGGGTTTCTTGGATCTTCTGCCATTGGACCCTTCATTCGTGTTCATGGTTGAGGACGGAACTGATATGGCGGAATGACCCTGATATCGAGGTATTAGGGGAGCTTTCCAAGACGAATGTAAATTAGGTAGGCTTCGAGATTAGGCTCTCGGTTACCTCTGTAAGTGTAGGTAGTTCATGATGTTGCCCTAAAATCAATCTTTTAACTGATAACACCTTTCGCCTAATTTTACCTTCACGGGGGTTATACAATTTGATAAGCCCTGACCACATCAATTCTGATACTGAGATCCATTGATTATGCTCCCGAGGAGAGTTAAAGTTCGACTCCAGAAAGGTTGAGTTATTGTATCAAAGCTTAAACTGATCACAACGAATTGAATCAAAGGAAAAGTGAGTTTTGTTCTTCTACACGTCACGGCTGCCTGAAGCGAGTAGCCAAGATATGTATCAACAACCTTGTACATCAGGCAGATCACTATCTTTCGAGGCATCACCTGTTAGTCAAGCTACAGCTGCCTATCTCACTTGACTTGGCGCGGGGTTCAAGACCTTTCAGAACCTGCAGGAATATTTTAGGCTCCTTTGCTCTTCTCAATAGGCTGTGCAGTCATTTGTAGTAAGCTCGAGTCACTGCGAAGGTTCGTCACTCTCTGGGATGGCAAACCTACGCGCTCTTGAGCTTGCAATTTGCTCTCCCCTCTTCTCGTACAATCTGCAATTAAGTTTAATACGCGATCGAAGGGCAAAGCCCCGCATTGCCCTTCAAGTATATATAAGGCCGCCGTGTTCTACCATCCTAGACCAAGCATCAGCAAACCCTCAAACTCTCCGACAAAATGAACACCAGCTTTTACCAAAGCCTCCCAACTTATCCTTTTGAGTTACTAGCCGATAACCTGGCGCAGCTCGCAACAATCGACTACTTTCATCACCTACGTATATTCAAGCAGGAGATCATAACCGTCCTCGCCCTCGTTGGCACTGCAAGATTTGTCACCTGGGTTCTCTGTGCATCCCTCTCTTTCTACACATACTGCCTTCACCGCAGTAAACTCCACCGCTATAACCACGTATCCCCCGACGGATCGGCCGCATGGGCTCTAGTAACTGGAGCTTCTGGTGGAATCGGATATGAGATTGTGCGCGAGTTCGCAAGGAAAGGGTTCAACGTTGTGCTCCATGGCCGGGTGGAACAGGATCTGCTAGCTGCCATGATGCGGATGCATGATGAGTTCCCAGATCGGAATTTCAAAATGCTCGTCGCAGATCCGACAGTCCTTGGGACTAAAGAGTTCTGGTACAGGAAGAGCTATGGCGACTGGAAGCTAGAACGTAAACTTGACCTTGAGGCTATAAAGAACGAGCTGTCCAAGCTTAACTTGACAGTCTTGGTTAACTGTGCGAATGCAGAGACTAAGCATAAAGACCTTGGACGGATCCTCGATGAAAGTGAAAAGTCTATTTGGAAACACATCAACTCGGACGCTCTCTATCCTATACAGCTCTTTCGGGCTCTTCTTCCTACCCTCATTGGCAACGCCCCGTCTCTCATCATAAACGTCACCTCTCTAAGCGACAAAGGCATCCCACTCAAGATCTCAGCCTCAGCAAGCCGTTCATTCCTTTCCAGAATGACGGAGTCCTCGGCTCTGGAAATGAAACTCGATGGTTACGATATTGAGGTCTTGTGTGTACGGGTGTCGAGATGCATGGGCCAAACGGACAGCACTCTTGCTGAAGCAATCATTGCGAGAGTCGGTAGTCGCCGGAGTGTTGTTGTCGGTCATTGGTATCAGTATCTTTACAAAGGACTGGTTGATTTGCTTCCTGGATGGCTGTGGGATTGGTGTATTATACACTACATCCGTGAAAAGAGTGACATCCAGTCCAAGGCAAGTTAAATTTTCCTTATTCTCTCGTTCCCTTATGTATTCCTATCTATTCTTCAATAACAGTTGCGGGCGTTACGCCTGCATAGCTGTCTTCCCCATGCAAGGGTTCTTCCTTGCTACTATCTCCGGCCCTTTCGCTCAATTCTTCCCTAAGATACATATTGTGATGTCGCCGAAGGCTGATCGTTGAAGGTCACTGATCTGTGTGAAATTTATCTGATCAAGCAGTCATATTTTGGTGACATGTCAGAGCAGTCAGTCGTCTTTTTCTTCATCAACTTCCCCGCTTTTCCTTCCCCGTCATTATTGTTTCTTTCATCTGCCGTTTTTTGTCAAGCATATCATTCTCAAGTCGGACGCGATAATTAGTAGACCCAACAAGAAGCCGCCTTTTACTACGAAACGTGAATGGCCAACCTACCTAGGTAATTACCAAGGCACCGCAGAATAATGCAGACCTCTGGAGAGCGACTGCAGTTGATGAAAGTTCTGAACTGCTGGTCGTTCAGACAGACCAGATGAAGCTGCGTAAGCCTTGACGGCGATTGGCGAAAAGTTGCTGATTATGCGCTGTCATGCATACGCAAAATGCATGATTGAGCCCTGAAATTTAGTACAGTCACGCACGGTCCACCACTGTATTTTTGCTGACACTGATTGTGGATTTGGGACTGTAATCGTATTGAGATCGTGGCTCGTTGGTAAGTACATAAGAAAATACCTGTTCTATGGCGATCCATATAATAAACTTCAAACAAAAATCTTGCTGTCCCTCATCTAGGCGTGAGACTTTCGGCGGGTATCATCATCAACAGCAGAGGGAGTCTTGGGGCCACCAAAGCTAAACATGTCCAAGAACGAGCTCCGCCTCTCGCCAGTGGCACCCTGACCCTGGTCCAGCGACTAACGCCTGCTCCCGGCGGGCGATGCCTTCTTAGCCCCTCCCCAAAAGTCCATGATGGAGCTCCTCCTCTGCTCGAGGGGCTTGGGGGGAGTGCAGACCATGATCTGCAGCTCGAGGTTCTCAATGTCGTTGTCGGTCTCGACCTTTGTGCGGCCGCAGTTGGAGAAGCTGGTGCCCGAGTAGAAGACGTAGCCACTGAAGGGGCTGGCGAGGGCTGCAACAACGGCGCCCTTCTGACGCGCTACCTGCAGGGTTTGCTTGGAGAGCGTCTTGGCGTACCCTTGGCGCTTGTGGTGGGGATGCGTGATGACGGCATGGAGGAACATAACTTGGTCGTAGCGGGCGAGGTACGTCTGCTGAGTCTGCGTGATGCCTGATTGCAGTGCGGCAATTCTCTTTGCCGTCTTGCTTGTGCTCTCGCCGTTGCTGGGGTCTTCCGACAGTCCAAACACTGTAAAATTTAAGGTTAGCGAATTTTCATCACCGAAACGAGCAGAAAAGTGGGTTACCTCGCTGGATCTGTTCGGTGATGCCCTTTCCATCGTCTTCGTTCTGGTGAAGCGACTGGATAATCGCAAGGGACACGGGGTCGTGAGTCTTGGGAGCATCGACTACGTAGCAATGCCAATTCTTGCTGTTGTCGTCAATGATCCTCTTCAGAACCGTCTCGACATGATTTGAGGCGGCTTCTGAACGGCCTGCTGAGGGGTAGCAGTACAGCCAGACAGAATCATTTGACAGCCCGCTGAGGATGATCTCCTTCAACGCGGGGATGTCTTGTTGCGTAGCGATACGGACACCCATAACTGATACGTTGATCAATACAAAAAATATGTAATAAGAGTGGTTGTCGTGTTCAAGTTTGGTTGGAATGAAGAAACACCAAAGGTCAAGACAGTGAAAAGGCTTGAGGATCAGCCAGCTTTCATAGTCGGTATAAATTTTTCACCCGCCGCCCGGCAGTAAAAAAGAGTCCAAGTGGGCTTTCTGAGGTTAGAGCCACGCAACGTCACACGCAAAGTGAATTCTAATCATGAGCCGATGCCAAGCCAAGCAACATGAGATCATAGCGGTGTCTGTCCAGGCCAAGTATTGGCCCTCCAGTACGACGAGGCGCTGGCGGCCTCTCCTCCTCCCCACAGCGATCGCCTCATAGCGTAAGGTATGCCAAGTCTGGCAATTCCGCCTTAGCCGTACTCATTTAAACATTTTAAGCTTAATCGACAAGGTTAAACAACGTCTGATGCTCATGTTTTGATGCTCATCGTATGAGACGAATTACTGGTATCAGGTATAAATATGAGATGATGTTTCTTGGTATTTGAGGGAAAAAGCAAATGGTTATCGAGATTCGAGCGCCGAGATACAGGGATCTTTTGTGATCTGATGAGGAGATGGATTTTCGGAAAGAATGCAACCTACGACATGCAGTACAACCTGTGCCTGGTTTTGCTCTTATCGTACAGCGCAGTTGTCGCTTGTCGGCGCTGTACATGTCAGCAGTAAAAATAATACCGGGAACAGCCGAGGCATTAACGTGCACCGTAACGCACTGCTGAGAAGAGTTCAGATCTTCTTTCGTTCGAGGCAAGGCCCAACCATCATGTCATGGTTAGTAATACTTGTTTCACGACATGTGACGTTCAATACCCAATCATGGAGCATGTGCGGCAAAAATTATGGCCTCTTCGCTAACAATTCAGCACTAGAACTAGAGCTTTTCGCGGAAGCCTTTGAACTCTTGATATGCACCCCGCAACAACATTGCGGGGAGAATAGCTAAGCACGGCACTACCCATCCCCGGATCAAGAGACAGATACCCGATGAATACTATCTCTTAGCCTTTTCAGTTGTGGGGGTTCTGATTATTTAAGAAGTCGAGTGATAAGGCATACACCGTGATTGGTTCGTGATAGCTACGAGGTCTAGGCATGACGGAGGTTGAACCACTTGGGGCAATTGTGAGGCGGATGCCTGAGCTGATGCGATATCCGCCTCTGAACCAACGAGCCGCAAAACGACAGACTGCCGTTCGACTAAGTACTCAGACATGAGGTGGCCTCCAATTCCGTTGGCTCTAGAGAATTTTTTTGTTACGCTTCCATCAGCCCATGGCCAGCACGAAGAGCGTCGCAACTCTCTTGGCACCGTTAGGAGTCAATCGAACCATGCTCCACATGGGGCTTCATCACGCAGACAGGTTTTCGGTATAGTAGTTACTAATTACTTATCTTTCACGGCTCTCTTCTCTAACCCTGAGCGTCACATCTCGATTTAATGTACCTGAAGATTTGACTGCAGTAAACTCCATGGAACAATGCCCCGTGGCAATTTTCGAGCACATCTGTGTGATTGGTGTCGTTAGCTCCATCATCAACGGCGAGGACCTCGGCACCATCCGGTATCGCATCCTCAATATCCGGCGCTCGTTCCAAGTCACTCATCGGTTGAAACCACCTTTTCAATTGTTACCCGTTAGCGTTGGGTACTTCTCTTCCTCTTCTGCTATAAGGCGTAGATCCTTTTGCTGCTTTTGGTTAAGTTCATCGTGTTGTTTCGTTATTGCCTCATAAGCTTTTTCCAGTTTTAGCTGTATGGACTGCTTGTTTTGGCATTCATTAGATGGCACTTGCTATCACGACCAAAACTTTCTTCCTCAGTTTCGTTCTGCTTTCACCCGTTTAGCTAGAGATCTCAGCTCCTAAATCATGAAACCGTCTTAGTGGCGGAAGGATACAAGAAGTAGCACACAGGCGAGTCAATCGAAAATCCGACATTCTACATTAGTATCTACGCCCGATAATTGCCCCCCCTCCCGGCTTTGTGTCAGCCCGGGCCGGTCGCTTCTGCATTTGCTAATACGTGTAAGTTTCGAAATATCGTAGCATGCGACGAGAGGCTGTCATGAAAGTTCACTCAGACTAAACCTAGCAAATAGTTGCCTCGTTATATACGGGATGTATATCAACATATGTATAACGTTACAAAGAACTTCCAAAGTCTACTCAGCTGCACCAGTTTAAAGAATGTTGTATCTCCTGACCCCTGTCGTTCACGACACCGTCACTCACCACACCCATCCAGGACCCCGTCACTGCATTCCAGAAGATTTGGGCAGTAGCTCTTCCCCAAGGTCGAACGATGCTCAGCATAGAGGCATACTCGTTGGAGCCACCAGTTGCCTGAGGGTTACTCAGAATCCAACCTAGATTCACTTGCTCTGGAACAATAGAGACACGTCCGTTGGAGTCGGTCTGCACAAAAACATTCAAGATAAGGTCGGTTGCTTGAGCCAGGGTAACGATCCAGTTGACCCTTACTCTCTGCTGCCTAAATTGTCGCTTCTCAAGGCCAAAACGGTCTGATCTAGGATGCGCGGCATTTGCTGAGAGATCAGACCCAAGCCTAATTGTGGTTAGCAAAGGGGCTGAGTGCGAAGTATTTTTATACGGACTCTTCAGAGGAAATGGTTCGTCCTGACACAGGGACAGATGCCGCGGCAAACCACAAAATATATAGATCAGGCCTCATATTGTCCGAGGATAAGGGTGGATTTGATGTTGATTGCTGACTTGGAAGTTTGCGTACTCAAGAAAGTTGTGCAACCAGGAGGATGAGCCGATATTTATATGATTTTGCAGACTCATAACTTCAGATCAACAGACTTTGCAGCTCTTAGCCCTGCGCCCGCCAATTTCTCATCTCAAATGTACTTTGAATGGCCCGGATGGTTCGGATATCTTGTCTACCATCTCGCAGTTGCTCATTGGCCATCAAAGTTTCACGATTCACTGGTTTAATACGAGGTTTTCATTTGAAGTAGTTAAAACTTTATGGCTTCTACGCTTCGAGAAGAGGCAATAATTTACAGCCACGTTGGCTCGGAGTTCTGTGTTGCCGAGTCTGTCAGTGCGCATCTTGATAAGCACCTAATTGTCCTGGCATTATTGGTCAATTGATACTACATTAGCCCAGGTCACACCTAGAATTTGTGTTTTACTTTCCTTAGCGGGAAACTATACATGGTTGTCTCTGTAGACAGTATCAGTCCCATTAGGGAAATTTCCTCTTTCGTCCGCGTATAGCAAGTGTTGAAGTTCTCCTTCGTCGTCGTATAGCATGTGTTTAAGTTTAGGCCGCATACACGAGCAAACAAGGATTATAAACCCTACAGGGGTATTACTATAATGCAAAAACTGCCGATTACAAATCTTGTCAGTGCTCGGCACTTAGCCTGTTTGTTGTTCCAGAACGTCAATGGTAGCTTGTTTATAACTAAAGAAGTATTTATATTCATCTAAGCCCCAAATCTTTCTTTAGAATAATTCCATCCTTTCTTGCAATTCTCAAATAAGTACGAAGCCAACTTTGTTCAACCAACCACCATGATGCTACCTACAAAGGAATTGGCCTTGGCTATGAACTGTTTCTTGTAAGTAATGCTCTAAACCAAGCTGAAATATTTCCTACTTACATGTATAAATCAGATCACTTGCCGCTGCGGCTAGTTACGACTACTGCGCCTGCCAGACAAAAACAGACGGGGCTCTCGACGATACCAAAACATCGCTCGTTGCTAGGTCATGCGGTGACTCTTACAGCTTTGTCTACGGTCAGTTCAAGAAACTTCTTCGTTATGTACTATAGTGTTTAACTGTTTGCGGCAGGTCCAGCAAGTTATGATGCGACATCCAAACAGCCCTGGCTTAGACGTAACAGCGGTCCTGGGCCAAGATTTCAAGGACTTTTTGTGCGTGTATAACTTTGAATACTGACCTGTCTTCTAATATTGTGGTAGCTACAAAGTATTTTTGGCAAGATCGACGGAAACTTGTTCTATGATCTATGTAAGGATGCTGGGGCTAAAGACAGTTCGTGTTTCAATTGTGCAAGGTTCCAGCAGAATGGCCCAAGTCAGGGTGGAACATTCCAGTGCACTGAGTGAGGTAATAAAAGAAGGTAGATGCTCTTTAGTCTCTTATCTGTAGCGCCAAGAGAGTCCATGACGATCAGGGGATTGATGATAATTTTAGGTCTTATTACAAGGGATTAGTTGACTGGATGTGATCGTTTTTGGTGTGCTTCGACCTGAATGTCAAAGGGACAGGCTTAGGTTAGGCTTAGGGTAAAGCAGCAGTTACCTTAGGTAGTAAGTAGGAGAGAAAAACCCGTAAGTTGATAGTCACATTACTTATTGGCTTGTTTTATAATCAATCGACGTCAGCCCATCTACAGTGTATAGACATACTCGGTTCCGCACTGCCACTTCTCAGCAAGCAGCCTTGTTTCACTACCACTCAGAGTACCCTCATGCTGAAGATCATGCTCTCTCGCCCTCTTCAGCTTCTTGTTTCTCCGAGCCAGGAAGAATCTCAGAATAGTCGCCATAGCGACACAAAGACCGCTAAAAGCTACGTTGGCAATATTCGCCTGCCAATATCGGGGACCTTGAGAGGAAGGGTAGAAGTAAGATGCGTAGATAGACGCAAGATTAGAACCAGCGTTAACCACGGCATATGAGATAGCGCGCTTTGTCGATGGACGTGGTAAAGACGAAGATACCCAGGACAAGATGCAACCGAAGGATCCGTAGACTGACATCATCATGAATGTCGAGATATATCGAGCTGCCGTGTTGAGAGTCACAGCTGAGATGATAAACCCAATGCTGCAGAAGATCTGCGGCCAAACAACATGTAACCATCGCTCATTTACACGATCGCTATGCCAAGAGTTCGTGATACCCAGCGCCGCCGCAAAGACATACGGTGGCGCAGAAAGCAGAAGAGTGATAGTCGAGCTA